AAAATACAACAATTGAATTCATACACAAGAGGTCATAGAAACATGTCAGAAAGGTCAATTGGTAAATTAGGCTAATAAATCTTATTAGTAACGTTAATAAAGGAAGCACTGTGGACAGTGAGATAGGGGAAAAATGTTAAAGCAAAAAATGCGGGCAGGGGGAAGTGTGAATCAGGGAGCTGGCTGTTACCAGGGCAAAGCAAGGTTCACAACATGCTCCAGCTGTTTACATAGGTTGGATTTTGACCGTCGTATAGGGGCTGCCTCTAGGTAGTGCAACGTACGAAGTGTTCGTGCCCGAACAAGTACTCGGAAGGATCTTTTGGGGTCTACAGAATGGCCCGTATCCAATAGGTGTTCAGCAATGGAAGAACGGGGAATCCTATTTTCCTGTTTTAATAGCCAACTCGGCAAGTGTTCCTTAGCTCTGGCTGCCAATTGCCGTTGTGTTCGCCCTATTTACTTGCATCCGCAAGTGCATGTTAATTCGTAAACACAATTGAAGTTGCGTACAATGGCAAAGCCTCCTTTGCAGTTGGAATCGGAAGGGTCTTTGTCGAGTTGCAAAAGATAAGCTCGGCAGCAAAGTAGGTCCTTTCAATGGTGTTGCGTAAGCGTCTCTTGATTTTGTTTAAGGTGTTATCACCCTTAAAGGGGAAGGATATGAAAACAAGCTTTTTGAAGCCGACTGTTTCATAACCTTTTGCCGTAAGGGTTTGCTATACTTGTGAATAATGTGAGCTGGATAACCACGCTTGAGTAGAGTTTCCTTGAGGCTGGCAATTTATGCATGCAGTATATCCACTGAGCAGATTTTGCTTGTCCTCTGAAAACTGTTTTGTCTTATATAAATGATCGTTTAAAGTACAACGCATATAAACAAGACGTTTTTATCTGCAGCGTTTAAAAGCGTATGAAATTTATTATATGTGAGGAAACGTTGGATTTGGTTTTATCTAGCTCATTTTATCTTTCAACCTGAACTGAACTATTTTTTAGTAA